AGCTGGACGGGACCCACCAAACCAAGACCAAACCCTCCCGCCCAGGTCTTTCCCTGCCCTCACCGGAGCACCACGCAGTCCCTGCGCGGGTGGGGTGCCATGCTGTCCGTGACGTAGTGGTAGACCTCCATGTTCTTGTCCAGGGCCTCCACCACTTTGCTCTGCAGCAGGTCCTCGTCCCAGAGGTGACGCTCCCGAAGCACCCGGTGCAGCACCGTGGCGGGAGGGGCCTCGACCTCCGTGGAGACCTTCCACAAGCGCAGAGGGTGCCCGTCCCCAACCTGACGGGCCAAAGGAAGGGTCAGGCAGGCTGTCCTGCAGGACCCCCACAGTGCTAACTCCCCGAGTGGCTTTACCGATGGCTCCCACCGCCATGGAGCAGCACCATCACATCTGCTGGCTAGTGAGGGGATGGGATGGGATGGGCACAGGCAGCCAGCTCCTCTGCTAACAACAACGGGGTGGGTTCTCTGCCAGGACTGCTGGGCACAGAGCACCCTCCACCTCAGAGCTGTTCATCTCTCAGCCCCAACTCTGGCCAGGGAAGGGGTTGCTGATCCCTCCTTGCCGAAGAGAACAAACGCCAAGGGCTTGTTAGCAGGTCGGGGGGTGCCCGCAGGACCCGTGGCTCCCAGTGGTCACCCTGTACACATTTCCCCGCGTGACCCCAAGCCCCCCTCCACACAGTGCCATTTACCTTTTTGCAGGAGAGCTCCGTGTTCAGGGGCCCCGGAGTGCTCAGCCACCCCTTGAATTTCTCCGATGACTCTTTCAGCAGGTTCTGGACACTCTGCTCGAAGTAGGAGTGTAAATCCTTGCTTTCCGCCTGACACACGAAGTCAGCCAGGGGATGGGGGTAAGCGTCTGCTGCCATATATGAGCTGCTCAGCTGGAGCAAGATGTCATGGGAGACCTACAGGCCAAGAGCATACAGATCTTCAGAAAGCCAGTGGGATCCTATGTGGACTTTGCGAGCGGTCCTGGGCAGCCAGAAAACCACAACTCCTCATCCCACCAAGGAGGGGGGAAGATGGACACAGCCTCCCTCGACATAGGTCCTGCAGCTTGTGACCTGCACCACCACGAGATGCAGCTGGGCTTCGCTCCCAGCGCTGACCAACTGGCAGCAGCTGTCCCACTGGAGGATGGGTGCCCTTATCTCGCCCCACACTGACTCCGCAGGACCAGCACCCCACCGGCGAGGTCGCATCTCCCGCACCCGGGGAGGGCAACGCTGGGCTGGACACACCACAGCCACCCACCTGGAAGAGCTTCTTGCAGTCGGTGATCATGTGGGAGAGCCCCTGCGTTGCAGCCATGTTCTCGTTGAGGTCCTTCTGGTCAGGCTTCCCCATGGTGCCCCTCTTATGTATCACCCTGCGGGGGAGCAGGCATCGCTGGGACCGGGTGGGCATCCCAAAAAAAAAGCCCTTTGGGGGCCGGGGTGGCCCTCCCCCCTGCCTCTAGACCTCCCGTCGCTCTGCTTTGTGTCGCAGAGCAGGGGACCCCCACATTGCAAAGCAGAGCGATGGGGGGCTGTGCGAGAGCACGCACGTTCCCACCATGCCTCACCCCGCTCCGGTGGTCTCCTCCCAGGGAAGACAAGAAAGGGGCGATGGGGAGATGGGTTGCAGGAAGGCTGGGGAGGCCGGGGCTAGTCCAACCCTTACCTCGGTGAGGTGCTTTCCTTCTTGGACACGTTAAGGTGGAAGATGGAGGGGGCCAGGCACACGGCCAGGTTCCCAGCAGTCATCTGGTTCTCCTCCGCGGAGGCGATGTCGCTCAGGAAGTAGAGCAGGGTCTGCAGCACCTCCCGGTTCTCGTCCGGCATGAGGATAACGGCCGCCTGCA